AAGTAGAGGCCGTTTTTAAGAAAAAAAATGTTGAATTAACCCAGTGGCAGCAGGAAGAGACATTGTGTGGCGGTGTTCAGACAGTAGGGACAATCCAGAGGTGGTATATCAAAGACGGTAGTAACCGCATCGCGCGCTTTCAGACACACTTCTGCGGCCATCTGGAACGCTCTTCCTCCCGATTTTATAAAGCCACTGGGGCTATGCACTTACAATTCCAGATTTAAAACTAATTTCTTTAGAACGTCTTCTTGGTTCTTTCGGTAAAGTCAAGTAGAAGGGAAATCGCAGCCAAAATACTCTTAAACGCATGTTTAAGAGTATTTTGGCTGCGATTTCATTCCGCACAATAAGCCACATCATTGGGCTATCATTTGTGGGCAGATCGCTTCTGAAACAGAGTTATGTAGCTCAGTGGGCCTCAGCCGGTAGAATAAAAGGAGGCAGCATTTTCAGGGATAGGCAGTGCCCTTGTTCCGAGCTCAAACATTTGCTCTGCCACCACTACTTGCACTTGCATGCAAGATCATTGTGTTGCAAGGGGACCATTTTGAGTAAGATAAAATACATGCCCAACTTCGTCTACACTTACAACGTCTGGTGACCCAGCAACATTTGTTTAACAAGCCTGACTCTACTGATGAGGCTCGAAAGGACAAAACAGGCGCAGAGTTTGCTGGCTGAAACAACATGCTGTTGAATAATATTGGTCTGGAAAGCCAATAGACCGATGGACTAAAACATTATTTTTATTTATACGCGCGACGACAGAATGGCGCACCCTTGGCACTGCGATCAGTGTGGGGGTAGGCACGAACGCAAAGCCCTTGGACAGATGATGCAGGAAGGCGTTGTGCACTTGTTGACGAAAAAGGAGGAAAGGATGCCGAACGTGCCAGCCACAAAGCTGCTCGCTGGACCAAAGCGGCTTCGCACAGATGGGACGGATTAATCCCGAGTGGAGTCGGTCCACTGGACCCACTGACACTATCACCAGCTGCCCTGCGCCCGCAGTCACTACAGGCAAGGAAATTGAAACGCCGACGCCAGAAAAACACCACGGGGTGCAATGATGCGGCAATCAACATCCATTCTTTATCTCATGATACGCGCATCGAATTGCAAAATTACGGGGGATTTTTTTTCCTCCGTTCAAATATGTTGTACATACTGCGATGAGTTGGTGCGACCCTTCCAGCTACTCAGTTGCCACTGCATTCACTACAATGTAAAAACTAAATTCGAATTCCTGAATCAAACCGTGCAGCTGAATTGTGACACTCAATTGAAGCTTGGGGAAGGGGAAGCATGATACCCATCTAAAAAACAAACCCATGAAATAACTACATATACATAAAATACATATAAGTAGATTTGAATAAGTACACCTAAATAAATTAAATATCAAGTGGCTAGTATTAATAGCTCGTAAACTGAATCAAATTAACTAAACAACATCGCACAAAGGTCACAGAGGTAATGACTATACAATTATTAAACAGTCAGTGGTACTTTGAGCACATTTAAAAAGAAAGGCCTCTTGTAAATGACAGCGACTACATGCTGAAGTGACGTCAGAACCGGTTCTTCTATGATAGGGTAGAAGGGCATTTAACCAAGCTTCACCGAGCCGACAATCACGGAAGGCATCCAGCCAATGTTTTTTTTTGTAATCCGTGCCATCTCTTGAAAGAGCCAAGAACATCTTCGTTTAACCGTGCGCCGTAATAGCTTTATTCTGCTTCGCCATGGCATTTTATGTGAAACCCGTGTTTATGTCACGGCATCGGATTTCATGGGAGAGGCGTTGTGATACAGAAGAGGGCCCCCCCCTATCCCCCTCCCCTCCCCCCCAAAAGAAAAAAATTCATGAGACTTTGAAATCCAACTTTATTGTTGGCGGCCCGTACGTTAATGTAATCCTAGCCTGAGCTCAATGCGAATGAGCACGTGCTAAGGCTTGAACTGACAATTATACAACTTGGGAGTCCACAAAGTTTAATGGTGATCTATGGAATCCACAACTGCCCCTTGTAGATTATGCCACCCCAATGCGCCGTTGACACATTGACCCAGAGGGTGGCAAAGTGTTCCCCTTATCTCCGCGCCATCCCTTCACCCATCAAACCCCACCGCTCTCTACTGACCAGCTGCCCTCTCCCCTCCCCTCGACTCGCTTGTCATTCACACCGAGCAAAAAAATATATACAATGGACATCATTTGTCCAGGAAAACCATCACACAAGACCACCTTTTTTTTCAGGAGCATCCTGGATTCGAGACGTTTGGCCAACTTTTATGAATCATTGTTTGAATTCACGTGGGAGGAAGCCAGAGTACTGTACAGTACTTGGAAAAAGCCCACAACACATTTGAGGGTGAACCACTCAAAGCTCCACGCAGATTCAGCAATCCGTTGCTGAATAGTGATTACCTGGCCACCCCACGGCCAAAGCATGCCACAAAACTGGCATCACCAGACAGGCTCGCGTTCAAGTACCGTGCCTGCTTCACTGTCGAAATGCGACGAGATCGGGCACATTTCATAACAATTTTTGATCGATATTGTACCTGCCGGGACTTTTGACTGCATCGTGAAATGTGTGTGTTTTTTTAAGTGCCCACGTTATTGAACCCGCTCCCCCCCCTACTTCTGTGTTGATGTCTCGCAATTACGACCATTGGGAGACATCTGTCGCCCGTAGGGGCAGTAGTGAAGCAGTGGTTGGCACGGCCCTGGTGCCCAAAGCAAATCGAACTGCGTGGGTTCCCAGCTTCCCCCTCTTCGTTGCCCGGCACCTAAGCCCCCTCCCGGCCCATGTGACCCGGTGCAATTGCACTGCCTGCACGCTCGCTAGCTATGCCACTGCCTGGAGGGCCCCGGTGAGGGCACAATAGTTCCCTTTTCTCAGCCGTGCTACCTGTTTAGCTCTGGGGGCCAATTCCACGAAAGGTCACGGCATTCAAAGGGGTTGAAATGTGCACCGTGACGTCAACTGCCTCTTCCACCAGGCTGGGGCAGGGGGGGGGGGGGGGCTGTAGTGTGAAAACACCACAGCAGGAGATTCCGAAACCAGCCGAGTTTAACTTCAACTTGCCGAACCTCAACGGATGAACACATTCCGGGCAACGGTCGTCTCATTGTCCCAGTGCCGTGTAAAATAACGTGGCCAAAAAGTCTTGGATGTGCGGAGATGGCGGAATAAAACACGGCCGTGTGCACGATACACGCAGCATATGCAAGGGCACAGTGGAGGCACCGATCCAATGGTCACAATTGTGCCTCTTTCTGCCTACGAATCACCTTTCGTGCTTCTTATTACGCTTATTGCGTTCGACTGCATGCAAACACGGAGGGGTTCGTTCCAGATAACCTACCCGACTGCGTAGGTTGTGGAAAGCTGCGGCAGGGAGTGGGGAGGGAGAGTGCAGGGAGGGGTGTTTGGGGGTACAGGACGGATGGGGCATACGGACAAGAAGGGAAGGCCACTGGGTTCGTAAGGACTACAGTTTTCCACCTTTGCTGGCTTTCCCAGACACATCCTTTTGTCGAGGTAGCTGTCCGGATCAGTCCAGATTTATGTCAGTCGCGTAACAGTGCATCGCTCGAGACAACGCATTCGCATGGAGTCCTCCCCTCTTTCTCGTTTTGTGAGATCTTATTCTTCCCGTGACGCGTCCACTCTTCTTGAATCACAGAGGTGGCAATCACAGTTGGGGAAACCCAAATCGGCTTTGGCCCGGCTAAGAATCGGATCGTTTCAGGTCCGGCACAAGCACGCCACCACGAAATATGGGTCGTGTACACGTGGGTGTGCAGTTGCTTGACACACACATTTGCGTGGTTTGGCTACGTACGGCGCGAAAGAAATACGTACACGTGAGCTGCGGCACATCAGAATGATGACGCTGGTCACACTGCAGCCATGCAGTCAAAACATCTCTCTCTAAACACAAAGCATAGCATGCGTGTGGTGTGCGTGTCGCTTCTGCAGTGTTGTCGCGAATGGTCCCAGCCACACCTATGTGTGCTTAGATTTGGGATGGCTCAGACCGTGGGGGATTGGGGAGCTCATTGTGAGACGACAACAACGAAAACCAGACACTGCAGGAAATGTTGATTGTGCCTCAGCAGGGAGACAAGGTAGGAGGACCCCCCCCCCCCGCCCCCCAAGCTCTCTCTACCACAGTCCAAGTAAATTCTCCCTCTGTTAGATAAACATTCCAAAACAAAATAAGGGAAGTCAAAGTCTTTCCCCAGCGGGATGAGAACATCCGCGGTGAAAACAACGGTTGATGGCATCTCGGAGGGTCAATCCGGCAGGTACATTTTCAAAATGAATGTGCGAGAAACAGAACGCTAAACAGTCCTGAGAAATTGGTAAAGGTGCAGCCCTGCAATATCTTGGTCAAGCCACTGTTGGTCGAACAGCCTCCACTAGTGGTAGGCAGAGAGAGCCCCATCTCTAAATGGTATTTGGCCTACTCTTCCCTACTTGCCAAATGTATTGGAGGCGGTGGAATTGCCCACACTTCACCCCACCGTACGCGGCATGCCAAACGACGTACTTTTCTCGCGTATGAAGGGTTAAAGGAAAGGTTTGTTACGTGTACAGTGACTTAAAACAATATCTGCGATCAGCACGGCCAGTTACGTAAGGTGCTAAAGAAGTTCAACGTCCGTACATGGACATACATCTCTGAGTTGCTTTATGAACACAGTAACCCCATCATGACAGACGCACTTCCCCCACCTCCTTCACCAACCTGCATTGGCCAGCCGAGTGAGGGATGGTCAGACATCTATGGTCGACACATTGCGAGGGGAGGCTTCCATCCAGCGGTGAACTGACATTATTATTGTTATTACCGATGGCCACACGATGCGAAGTATATGTTGCGGTGGTTGAGCAAATATGAAAACCCAGACACAAAACTTGCACAGCACACACAATGCGTAAAGATGGCAATGTCATTTTAAGCCAAAAATAGAGCCTTACCTCGTATAATCTCCATTGGCCTCCTGCAGGAGGGGGGGGGGGAAACAGAGAAACATTTTAAATGTCACGCTTTTCAAATCGCGGTTTATTATTTTATTTTCTGTTATTTTTCTAAAAACAACACGACGTTGTTTTTGTTTCATTTCTTGCGGTTGGTTTTCAAAATCACATCATTCTCGTGAACGCGGCAAAGAAGGGTTTATTTTTGTTATTCACTTTCGGAAGCCTGGCATTTAAAAGCCGCATTCTCAGACACGAGCCTCGGTGGGAAATAAGCGTAGGTGGCCGCGTTTTGTTTTAAACGCGACGTAAACTCAGCGCAGTACCTTTTCAAACGACTGCAGTATACGCGTGGGTCAGATGAAGTCCAGTAGGATTGTCGGGGCAGATATCAGTGTTTATAAACTCCTTCCCTCGACTGTTTAACCAGCACCCCCCTTCCCAATCCCGTGCCCAGTGCCAAACGCCTCATTGCTATTTACGTTGTGTTATTATTTCAACTTCAGTTTTTTTTTACGTGTAAAAAAACATTTATTTTAAGCTAAATCAAAACTATATTTTCCACACAACTGGTTGCAATACGGATAATTATACTCGGACTTGAATGACCAAATTGCCTATAGGATTGCAGCAGCATTGCGTTTCAACCATTATACCGCACTATACCGGGATATATTTGTTTTAGGGCGGGGTGGGGGGGTTCCCTAAAAATCGGAGGATCCTGGCTGCAGCCCCTAAAGCCCCAGCGTTCATCTGGCCACGAGTATCCATTGCATGAAGAAAATCTCTTTGCTGCCCCAGGACCTAAGGAATCAATGTTCCACAGCAACCACGTTCGCGGTCATGTGACGACCCCCCCCCCTTCCACCCAACTTGGTCCTGGGTATTCCGCGGAGAAAGGCACCGTTTGTGGGAGGGAGGGAAGGGAAGGAAGGTGCGTGGGTTTGGAATGAACGCGCAGGCGCGGCAAGTCCCTGCGGTTGAGCGGCGTGATGATGTCGAGCAATCGGTGCAGAACCAAGCAGTCGCGCACCTCAAATGGCCATCGCCTTAACCTTGCCGTGCCTACTTATTTCTTAAATCTCGGACGCTAAGCATAGCACCCCCCCCCCCACCTGCTGTCTAATGTAAAGTGGCCAGCAATGGAGAGAAATAATGATAGTACAAAGAATAAAATAGAAGTTGGTTATTGAATTAAGTGAGGTTATACGGAGCTTGGGAATTGAGGAAGACGGGATGGAGTTCTCCAAAGCCAGCGACAGAGACCACGGACGAATGTACAGCAGACAAAAACTGGTGCGTTACGTGAACTGAGAAGGGGGTTATAGGAATTTGAAAATATAGGAAATGGAAGGGGGGAGGGGGGGAGTTCCAAATTGAAGCAATGCTAAGAAAGCAGAGAGGAAGAAGATACAGTGGCTGAGCACAGTATGCTATTGATGAGTGAATTAGATCCCATTTGGCAGCATATCAAGGTAGAAAAATGAGAGGCATGGGTGCTCGTTTCAGCAATGCTGTTTGCGTGCCATGGGCATGCACGCACACGGGCTGATCCCATTTGTTCGTCAACCTTTCTCATGAAAGTGCACCACCTTGTTGTCTAGCTGATGTGTGCAGTGATTGTTATGCTCTGTGTGCATTTCCGTTGGTTGTCTGGATCACTGTGGACAAGTGGTTGTAAAAGCTGCCCACAATGTACGGCACACACGCATTCTTCACACGAAAACGCCTTACAAGTTGGTCGTTTTTTTCCCCCTCTACACTTAAAAAAAAACGTACAATTAAAAACCCACAAGTACGGCCAACAGCCGAAGTGGACCGTGGCAGACGACGGAATACTGAGGGCTCCTTTTTTGGATACATTTAAGCGAATACAATTTTCGTTCATTTTACAAATGTATTGATTTAATTTATATACATATTTCAAATTACCACATCCTGTTGCAAGCAAAGGACAGGTTGGCGGAGCTCCAACGCAATTACAATTCGACTTTGCCACACCTGACCGACCAGAAAACAGGGCTCAATGTAAATCACCAGGACGGAAACCCAAAAGTTACCTTCAATAAGTATAACCCGTAAAAACAAAGTTTTTCACTATAAATCCTTTATATGCGTGGCAGCGAACTTAATATAAAGGATTTAAAAATATATTCGCCTGTGGAGGACGCGGGGATCGATCCCGCGACCTTTGGCATGGGAAGCGAGGGCGCTACCAACTGCGCTACTCCGCCACGGCCTGTGGAGGGGTTACGCTCTGGGCTCTTATACTGTGACGTTCAGCCAAAGCGATAAATGAGTTCTATTTGAATATATGTAAAATAATTTTTTTTTGCCTAAAAAGTGTCAAATTTTGGGAATTTTTTTTCACGAACATTAATTGTCTGGCACAACGAGTCTGTGTGGAAAATGTCAGCTCGATTGGATCACGGGAAGTGGGTTAAAAAACGACCGAAAGATTTGCACGGTCGTAAGCAAGCAAGCAAGCACGCAAGCAAGCAAGCACGCAAGCAAGCGAACTTAATATAAAGGATTTAAAAAGGTCTCCAATGGAAAAGCAGCGCGTGCAAAAATATATTTTACCCTATTCATTCATTTTCAATTTCTCTTCCTTTTCTCGCGGCCTTATTTATTGTTTCTTCCTTTCTTTATTTCTTCGAGCAGCTGAGAAAACTGGCTCTTGATGCTGGAGGGGAGCTGTTTGTGGGATGTGCCTGACTTTTCACATCCCACTGGGGGAAACCTGAGACCAGGTTTTTGGTGAGAGAGGAGCTGAGATTGCGAGAGTAATTCTAGACAGCTGTACAGACCCCAGGGCCCCAAGGGTTATCGGGAGGAGAGTTTGTACATGCACTCTAACAAATAAAGGGGGCAAAAGTTATCTTTGAGTGATAGTACAGATATGTGCTTTCATACAACAACAAAAAACTGTGAGCACGCCCCCGCGACTGTGTGTACATTAAATACAACAAGTTTTAAAAAAATGCTTTTATCACGTGTGCTTTATGTGACCAAAGAGATTAAATGAACTCCAAAAGCACCTGCCAAACCAGATTTTTCCGCATTACCAAATTCAGGTGGGTGGCTCTGAGGGCAATCTTGCAGACAACATGATTAATCTATCCATAGACCAAGCAGACCACGATCCAGTTTTTGAAAAATACCCTGGAGAATCTGGTTCTGCCCATCAAGCAGATGGGCGTGAAATGTGCTCGGGTCCTTGGGGCGGTATCATTTTCTCTCTCACAGCGATGCTTTTACTTTAGCGATGTATGGGTCGGCCACAATCCTCCTGCCCTACACAAAGCCCAAATTTCCATGGCAACCAATGCACTGCATTCACTCTTCTACTTCGAGGGGGGACTTTGGGAAAGAGGACTACTTTGTTTAGAATCGCTCATAACAAGTGTTAGGATGGACCCGGGGATGGAAGTCGTGGGATCCAATTGGTGTTTTAAGTTTAACGAATATGTTAGGATGAAACATTGACTTACGGCTTGTTACTTTGACATTGTTAATCACAAATCCATTTTAGTGTTTGTTCCACCGGCTATCGTGCCGTTGCTCGGGCGAATGTTTATCCTTAAATCAATTGCAGAGGCGGCGGTGTGCGCATGTGTGGAAGCGCGCGCATGTGTCGGGGCTGTGTGCGCGCTTGCACAAGAGCACCGGCTTCTGTTTGTGTGTGGTGTGAACACCCCGAGAGCTGTGTGCGAAGCAGTGAAATGACTCGACCCATCAGTGGAAGCACACGATGCACCTAACGGCGGTGAGCATTGTTGACACGATAACAATGCTGTATTCATCGCATGCCTTAACAGGATGCCAACGGCGCGCGTGATGGCGAACGACTGACTTATTTGTATCGGCAAGAGGAGGAGGTTCGAAAAGTTGGACGTCAGTACATGCAGCAGAGTGACCTCATTGTATCCAAGACTGATTTCATCCTCCAAGGACAAAGTGAAGTGACTCTCTCTTCTAAGCATAGCCCCTCTGCAAGATATCCACAGTATATATTCATGTTTTTTTTTATTTTTTATTTCCGTTCCTGCATTTCACCATGTGAAACCACATGGATGCGGCTTCAAGTCTCTTTTGGAAGGTTGACCTGCTTTGTCTACAATTGACAAACATTGCAGCTCAATGCAGACCTCAGCTAAACAGAGCTCAGAGTTCTCCAGTCGCTGATCACAGTACAGCTATCATCCACAAGCATGTTCAAAAATCAACCAGGCAGGAATACGGTCCTCAGATGTAAAAAAAACATGGAGTTGTGTTCTGATAGGGGGCAACTGAGATCACGTGTATTTCAGTAATTGTGGGAAATAAAAATATAAATTGGGGGCCCGAAGTAGTCTGTGAGGGCCCATTTAAACTTACATAATTAAGGGGCACATGTTTATTCCCTTCATCTGAACGTTTTGGGTTCCTTAGGCCTAGTTTTCTCACACCCATGAGTTATTTGGTCCATATCTCAAATTAGAACTGAACTGCAGGCTATTTCAAAATCGTTAATGATAGTCGCCGTGCAATGTCAACATGGTTTAAGCAGGTTTTTTTTGAAACAGAGATCATGTGCATTGGAGGAGTTAATTATATGTAGATCAATAAAATTACATTAAATTATTTATGCCAGCACTCTAATCTATTGTACTACCAGCATGCCCTTTGAACTTATTTTATATAAATAATAATTTAATAGAGACAGTTATTAGTCACCGATTTCATGACTGACATACATAATGAAGGTGTCGTCCTCGGAGGGCAAGAGAGCTCAAAAATGTGCAAGTCAAATCAATGCTTGTTACTCTAGAAAACACAAAAAGCAGCCAAAGTAAGTTCACCGCTGGATGAAGGCCTTTTTTCAGCTGCCGCAATACATTGTTTTGTCTAGCTGAGGGGTAAATAGAAAATATTTTTATATTACAGAAAAAATAGATTAGGCCCTGGAAACATTTCCATCTGGAGGTTTTCAGGAATGCCAAATCCAAATTTGACATTGGAGGTATGAATCTGGAAACTTAAAACCAAAAAAATGTGATTTTACACTTCCAAAATACGGGGACAATGTATGGCTTACTTTCTATAGTTTGAACCTATACATAAAAACTTTATATCTGGAACTTATGGAGATTTAGGGGAATATGACATCAAATATTGAAATCTTAAATCCCTTAAAACTGGGGACTACATTGATGAACATTTTTGTTTTTAAACCTAAACTTCTCAAGGGAATGAAGGGCACTGAATCCAAACGTAAAATCATAACTTTTAAACTAATTTATTTTGGTGCTTATTGAAAGCATGGGATACAAAAGCCAATAACAAAGCAGGCAAAGTCGACTACTACTGGTACACAACACTGCACAATATCGTACAAAAAACGATATGAATATCGGGAAATCAGAGTGAATAGAGCTGTGTAGAATCTTCAAAACCTCTTGAGCACGATATAAAAACTCATTGTACTGTTGGCCGTTTAAACGTCACACACATTACGTTTGCACTACGAAAGTGGATGTGCGAAATGGGAGCTGACGTTGGATAATGCATCCAATCTCAAAACATTGCATTTCATCCACCCCTCATGCACGACCATAAATATAACACTGCCAGGTTTATGGATAAACATCCACAGACGGATGGCTGCGTAAACATAGCACACATACGTGCGCAGAGAGAGAGAGACTTTGCGCTTAGGCAAGTACGAAGCTTTACGAACGTGCATGGGAAAGTTCGGCGAAATTACGCACGAGCAAAACCACAAAGGTTGATACGGTTAGCGAGTGGTGGCAATCTACCAGAGAAACAGAGGTGGGGGGGGGGGGGGGACCACGCACCGTGTGTGTGAGATAAGAAGGAGAAGAAAAGTAAGAGGAACGTGGAAAAGATAAAGCCTGGAGAGCCGGAGAAAGACATGGTGGGGGGGAGGTAATGCGACACGGGTAAAACAAACTAGAACACAGACAAGGAGCTCAGGAGAGCAACCAACAACAATGCAGAGATTTCGCCAAACCAGCCCATTCGTTGTTGTTCCTCTGCAATAGCGACAATAACTTTCCGCCGCAAATGTTTGGCGCTTATGACAAACGCAGCAATGTTTTTCACGCGCGCGCGGCGATTGTGCGCGTGTGTGCGCGCGCGGGGTCCCGCACGCCCGTTGCGCTTGTGCCTTGTGATCATCTTCAGCTCACCTGCAGAATGTAAGCGGCAAGTTCAAAGGCAGTCTCGCTGTCCACCTCCAGCAGTCCCTGCGGAAAGGGAAATGTGAAAGTTTCCTTCAGTCTTCCTGTCCCGTGTACGAGCTTGCAGCAGCAGCAGCAGGCAAGCAAGCAGGCAGGCCAGTTGGGGTGTTTCACTTCGACAGAGTGAGGAGTGAGAGAGAGAGAAAGCGCAAAGCGGGGGGAAATCAAACCCCGCCTCGTTTCTTTCTCTCCCTCTGCTTTCCCTCCACCCCCACACAACTGATCCTTCAAAAGGATGGCTTGAGACTCACTGGAATGTGCCACAACACTGCAGGGGGTGGGCCAGCCTTCAGTGCAGTCGAACGTTTAAATAGCCAAAATTTTAGCGAACACCTTTCAACAACTCAAGCGATCCGATGATTTTTGTTGGTTGTCTCAACAATGTTGCTGCCAGCCTAAATAAGTTTGCATGCTTTTTTTTCAATCTTTAAAACAACTTTTACAATACTCTTTGTTTTATGGGCTCACACATGGTACATCCCGGCCCTGCTCCTGACTTGCAGAATGAGCCACTGCATTCCTATGCATATAAGCCCAACATGCTAGCTCAGCTGTAGGCATATTCATTAATTGAAGCTGGAAATGCATCAAAGTTAAAATTCCATCTCTCTCCACTGGTCGCTGGCCGGGGCTCCATCATTTCCCTCCGTGCTATACTTGGCTGGCGTGCCGACTAGTTGGCTAGCTTGTGTGACTGGCTGTCCAAAAACACCCCTCCAAACGGGCTCTGTATTTACACCAACTTTGCGCAAACACCGATCAGAAACAATGGCCCACGAAATGGGAAAAAAACACGGAAGGGCAATAATTGACACAGCTGAACCTTGCAGTCAACATATCCTTTAATTGTACGGGCTGTGAATGCCTGTATCCTCAGAATAAACATCTTTTTACATTTTTCTAGTAGTTTCCCCTCCTAAAAATCAAGGATATTTATTCATTCTTTTGTTGAAATTATTGTGCACGTCTCTCCGTTGCAAACGAGATACGATCACTCGATTGTGTCTTTAAGCAAAGGGCTGGCTTGTCGTGTATTTATTTGCCCGTGGCATATGTAGCAAGTGTTGTTTTGTAAATATCTTTCAGATTAAATTGAGTGCCGAGTGAGCTGTTAATTACCTCGCCTGGTATACAGGAGGTTGTGGGTTCGATCCCGACCCTGCACATCTCTCTCCCCGTGGTTGTGTGGATTTTTCTCTGGGTCCTCTGGTTTTTCCCTCCACATTTACAAACATGCGTTTAGAGTATTTGGCTGCTATACATTTTCACATGATAATCCACTTCGTTGAGCTATCATTTGTGGCCAGGTCGCTTCTGAAAAAAAAACTATATAGCTCAGGGGGCCTTACCTGGTAAAATAAAAAATAGTGTTAGGTTTAGCGTGCTGTGCTATGAATCCGGTGAACCGAGTTCGATATCTGGCCACGAATGAAATTAGTGCAGCATTATATCTGCCGGGCCTACCATTTTCCTTCCTTTGCCAACCCTTAATGACCATTTCGATTTAAAGCTTTCGTGACTGCAGGGATTCATCTTCTTGGTTCTTCCGGTAAAGTCATGTAGAAGGGAAATAATAAAATAAGAAAAATAAAACAGAATAAAATACAATTCTCACGACGTTTCGGCCACAACGCAAGCAGCCGTCCTCAGGTGAAGAACAGGTCTGTCGGAAAGACATTCAGACGCTGTCTTTCTGACAGACCTGTTCTTCACCTGAGGACGGCTGCTTGCGTTGTGGCCGAAACGTCGTGATAATTGTATTTTCTCATGTTTTATTTTTATTATTTCTCTTCTACGTGACTTTACCGAAAGAACCAAGAAGACCGTAATGACCAGTTTGGTTAAGTATGGTAAAAAACAAACCTTCATCGACATTGGTAGATTGAGAATGGCTGGTATCAATCAAAGTGCTCTATATTATTTGTGTGCTTGTACTGTGCACCTGACACCCGCACAACGATAAAGTCATCTCCTTTAAAATTGCACGCGTGAATACATTATTATAAACGGAGAATGAATTAGCGCGACAGGTTTTAGCCACATTGATATATATAGCCATTTCATTGAGAGAACTATATTAATGGCAATAGCAACGAGACCAGGAATTTGACGAGAATCCGAGAGAAGGGAGAAATAGCTGAACCAAAAAAAACCAGAAGGAAAAACAAACCCGGCGGCCTTCCAGGCCGGATCCAGGTTGGCTCCCCTTGCATAATGAGCGGCAGACTTTCTCGATATCTGCCTTGATTTTGGTTAATTTGCATCTTGGACGTTCCCACTTAATGTCAAGAATCCTAAACATGCCTTAGCTTGGCATAGCTCTAAAGTAATACATTAACGAATTAATCAACCAGGTAGGGTGTTGACTGTTATGTTATCCGACTCTCTGTTGTATTACATTACATTTCTAAGTATACTAGATTTGTGTTTCTATTTCATTTATACCTGATGATGATTGCTTGTGTTGCAATCGAAACGTCGTATGCTGGTACGGGTAGCCGTTTGCGACCCTGGTGCGGCCGGGTACGGGTAGACCGTGAGTCACCGGTGAGTAACCGTTTGTCACTCATTTCGGGTAGGGTACGGGTACGGGTAGCGTACGGGTACCCGTACCCGGCCGGGTACGGGTACCCGTTTGCGACCCTGGTGCGGCTGGGTACGGGTACGGGTAAGGAATCAAAACCCGTTTGCGACCTCTGGCAGTCGGTAACCGTTCCCAGGCGTGGCTTGTGCCCAGTGTGGAAACGGCAACGGTTGGAGAGGCCTTCATCCAGAAGCGAATTGATAATGGCCGATGATAGATTTTTTTTCCCTACAATAAGGCAGCGTTGATGATGAATGTGGCGAGTGGTTCTTGTTGGAGTTGTGCTCACAAGGGGGACCCCCACCGGCCAACTCGGGCCAGTTACATCTATTTTATATGGATGCAGCAGATCTTGAAGTAAGGAAGCCAATCCAAACATAATGTTTTTGTTGATACTGCATTGGCAGTGGTGCACCAGCACGTATAACTAACACTCGACGCATGTATCAAGAACACTGCCTTAAAAGGAAATAATGTGAAATAAGCGAAGTTTTGGTCAAAGAAGAAGGTGCCTTGCCTGACACGTTGCCTATTAAATATATTTTTCTATTTTCCCCCTTTTAAAGTGATCAATATCCAGGTCTATAAACATGACCAACTACAGCAGAGTATTCGGTTGCGAAACATTATTGGACGTTTAGAGTAATCGGTTGCTATAGATTTCCACATGATGAGACACTTTTGATTTGAAGCTTTCGTGACTGCAGGAATCCATACTCTTTGGTTCTTTCCGCCTTGCGATGGAAACGTCGTGATTTATTTTATTTTATACCTACGTGACTTTACCGAGAGAACCAAAGAGTATAAGACACTTCGTTGAGCTGTCATTTGTGGCCAGGTCACTTCTGAAAAAGAAGCTATAAAGCTCAGTGGGCTTTACTTGGTAAAATAAAAAATAGTGTTTAGTTTATAGTTCAGTATAATCTCTGTGCAGGTGCAAAAATAACAACAACAACAAAAAACCGACCCCAAAAAGGGCATTTTAGGTAACGTTCCTCCCAAGTGGCAGCCTAAAGGTGCTAACTCAAACGGACAGACGAGCTTCTATGAGGCCACGAGGCGGGGGGAGAGAAAGGTGGTGGGGGGCTCAAGTTTTTGCGCAGGCCTGGGGCCAGGCCCTGGGGCCCAGGCCCTGGGGCCAGGCCCTGGGGAAAGAAAAAAGCAGCTAAGAGTTCCTTTAAAGAACCCGTGCCTTGGAAATAAGTGATACCAGCCGCCAAGGTCTATTTGAGGAAGCACAACACAGAAAGGGGGGGGGGGGGGATAAAATAAAAAAACGAACGCAACTGACGCCCGCTCTCTTTTGAAATGTTGGCACGTTTAGGGGTATTTTATGTCAGGCTAAAAATGTGGAAAGGACTGATGTATTATACGGAGGTTAAATAAGGGTGTGCTTTTTTTTTTGCCCTGTGAGTGAAGAAGAGTCGATGATTCAACTGCCTGGCATTGTTCGTGCTGTGTGATATCTCGACTGTAATATGGTGCGCATCATACGACCCAGCTGGTATGCCAACTATTCTTCCGATGATGCCCAGTGCTGATGTTTACCATATGACAACAAGCAATAAGTTCAGGCTCAGTCACTCTAGAGTAGGGTCAGACCAGGTTTACATATGAATTGTTTGAAGTTGTTCATGATGTAGTAACCACCATGACACAACTTTCTCTACATATTGTGTTTTTATACGTGCATAGATTCGCATTCATAATTAGTCTACGACCAACTCACCCAGAATGTGCCGGATCTCGTTAGATCCTGTAAGTGAATCAGGCTTGAACCTGGACAGTGCAAGGATGGGTGACCTCCATGCACATAAGCCAGGTATAATCGTGGGAAATGTGGTCAGTCGAGGGCAGTGTAGCAAATCCATGATTCTACTCTCCCCCTCCACCTTCACCAACGCACACTGGACCTGCGTGGCAAAGTATGGTGAAATATCTCTCATAGCCCACAAGGAATTGGAGGGCCCTCATCCAGTAGTGGATTGACGCGATGGGCCGTGCGTGCGCCTACATAATTCCTGAACATAAAATCAAAAGCAAAAGAATCTAACGTTGAGCAACAACAAAAAGACTCATACAGGTGCCCATGTGACTTGAGCATCTGCCTTGCGTTTTGTGAGCATGAGTGTTTTATTACTCCCCCCCCCGCCACCGCCGATCCCTGCACCCCCCCGCCACCCTGCCTCACACAGCCCCCCCCCTCCTCCCGCCCCCCCCTCATTGTTGGCGATCCCTGATTTGTGTGAAAGTGCCAGCGTCACACGTCGCGTCGGCAGCAGATGTGGCTCATTAAAAGGGTGCCCAGTTTTTGTTGTTTCGCGCTAGCTGCTGCTGCTGATGATGGTGGTGGTGGTGGCTGCTGCGGTGCTTAGCGCTCATCCTCAACAAGGGAGGCTGGCTTAAGCAGCCAGAGACAGGG